CTCCTGCAATGTAATCTGTCTGAAACTAAAGAGAAGTACAGTTTCTCCTGTCTCAGCTCATTATCGTTAATTTGTTCACACCCACTCGCAGAGCGCGCTATTCATAAGATAATGTGTTGAGGCCATTTGCAAAATAGATAAACGCCCCCAGGCAAATGCTGTAAACACACTATATTGTTTAGTCAGATTAAGATTCGTCTTGCGCGAATCTTAATCTCGCAAGATCTGCGAATTAGATCTGCTTAAGGGATATTGGCAGGTGCCATTAACCCCTCGAGCTTCTGAGATATCTGCCTTCGTTACACCTGACTCGTTTATGCAATACCGGGTTATGGCTTTTGGGTTACGTAACGCACCGGCCACTTTCCAAAGACTGGTGAATACGGTACTCGCCGGGGTTTCTAATTGTAATGCTTATTTAGAAGACTTGGTTTTGTATTCGACGAGTTGGTCTGAACGTGTCCTTGTTGGGAACAGTATTTCATCACCTTGAGAAGGCTTCGTTAACATTAAACCTGGCCAAGTGTGAAATTGAGGAATAATCCTGGGACATTTACCACAGAACAAGTGCTGGTTTCACTTCGAGGAGGAGCAACAGATTCAGCTGAGAAGTGTAAGTGTTTTATGCTTTGCTCTAATCGCGATATAGAATAATGTTAGTGTCTGTAAACGGAAAAATAGCATAGCCTACTGTTTAAATGTGAATCATGTTTCTGTGTGTGTGTGTGTGTGTGTGAATGAATGAATGAACGCACAGATACGCACTGTTACAGACGAAATAAAAGAACATTTCTTTGACTAGTTTTGGATAAAGTTTTTCAAATCAAATAAGCATCAAATAAGCTTCAAAATAAAGACATCAAATAAGCTTATGTTTTGTCAATAAACTAATCAACTAAGATGTTTGTTCCAATGCAAGCTATATCAAAATAATGAATCCTCAACTTTGAAATATGTATGATCACCCTTGTGAAAAAGAAGTGTGCTTAATTGTATTGAAAGCGTACTTTTTGTGTGCTTAAACTCATAAAAGTATACTTTTTGAAAAGTGTACTTGCAGATAATATAATATAATTAAAATTAAAGACCACTTAAGTGTACTTAAAGGGAATACACTTTAATGACAATATTTATTAACTCACTTAAGTGCACTTTTACAAATGCACTTTGTAATAATATCCAATTAAGTTTAACTTAAAGTAAGTGTCACGGTTCACCGTCTATCTTTGCACTACATTTCCCAGAATCCTCTTTGGCGCACCTGCAATCACTCTCCCCGGATTACCAATCACCTGCACCTGTTCACAATCAACAGCCCCATCAACCTCTGCATATAAACACTCACCACAGCCTCAGTCATTGTCAAGCCTCCAATAGGAACAGACGCTTACCATTGTCTCAAGTCTCTTACTCATCCTGTACCAGTCAAGTAACGTATACTCACCTGAAATGTACTAACCTCTATGTCCATGTTCTGATGTTCCCAGTATCTGCTTCTGAATCCAAGTTCCTTGTGTTCCTCCTGAGTCACGCTTGCTGGTGGATGTATCTGAAAGAGTAAAGACAAGTATCACTGAACTGTGTTAGTTTGACATTGGAAAAACTGAAGAGGATCTGCTCACCTGGAATCCTTCCTGCATAGTAATCCTCATCGTATTCACCTCTGAACTTTGAAAGAACTCACCATTGAAATTGATGCACTTAAATAAAGCTTTGTGTTTATTCACTTACCTCTGTCTCCGAGCCTGTATCCTGACAGAAGGCTTGACCAAAGGAAACAGATATTCGACGGTATGGATCCAGCAGTTCTGTTTCTCCTGAACCTGCGTCAAGGAGACCTCACCATAGAGGATTATGTTGTAGAGTTTTGTGAACGCTCTCATCTGTTGGACTTCAATGATGTGGCTCTTAAGGACTTATTTAGGATAGGTTTAAATGAACCTATCCGGTCTTGTTTGCCAGGTGGGAAGATTCATTTTTCCCTGGCTCAATACATAGACCATGCCTTTTGGTTGAGCGGCTCAACTTTTACCGTGGGAGACATTCAGCCTGAAATCCACGCCAACCCCACCGAGCCTGCATTCCACATCAGTCTTCCCAAGTCTGCACGTCCCGTCGCGACAACCATCCAGCCAGAGTTTCGTTCCAGCACAGAACCAGCCCCAGGGGTTCCTCGCTTCCCTGCTGTTCAGCCTGAGACTCTCGTGTGGCCCCGAGCCCGCAAGCTGGTTTCTAACAGTAGGGACTTGGGGGCAAAACTGGCGGATCCGGCGCTCCAATCCGTGCGATCAGCGTTATTAAAATCAGTTTTCCCTCTCCGGTCTTCAGTCCCAGGTCTTACTTCCACCTCCAGCCCAGAGTTTCCTTCGCCGCTGGTTCCGTCCAGCCCAGCCAAGCCCTCACCGCTGGCTCCATCCAGCCCAGCCAAGCCTGCACCGCTGGTTCCGTCCAGCCGAGCCTGAGCCCGTCGCCTGCCCGCCAGAGCCTGAGCCCGTCGCCTGCCCGCCAGAGCCCGCTGATCCTGCGCCAGAGCCCGCTGATCCTGCGCCAGAACCCTCTGATCCTGCGCCAGAGCCCTCTGATCCTGCGCCAGAGCCCTCTGATCCTGCGCCAGAGCCCTCTGATCCTGCGCCAGAGCCCTCTGATCCTGCGCCAGAGCCCTCTGATCTTGCGCCAGAGCCTTCTGATCCTGCGCCAGAGCCCTCTGATCCTGCGCCAGAGCCCTCTGATCCTGCGCCAGAGCCCTCTGATCCTGCGCCAGATCCCTCTGATCCTGCGCCAGAGCCCTCTGATCCTGCGCCAGAGCCCTCTGATCCTGCACCAGAGCCCACTGATCCTGCGTCAGTCCTGTCCAGCCCAGAGTTTCCTTTGCCGCTGGTCCTGCTTAGTTCAAAGTCCTTTTCACTGCTGGTCCTGCCCAGCCCAAGACCCTCTTTGCTGCCGGATCCCCCCTTTCCTGTCAATTTTCCCATTAACATTTTGGGGGGGCGCCCACCCGAAGGGTCCGACAGCTCCGCCCTGGACGCCCGAGGGTCCGACAGCTCCGCCCTGGACGCCCGAGGGTCCGACAGCTCCGCCCTGGACGCCCGAGGGTCCGACAGCTCCGCCCTGGACGCCCGAGGGTTCGACAGCTCCGCCGTGGCCACGCCCACAGCCTGCACCGCCCTGGCCACGCCCACAGCCCGCTCCGCCATGGCCACGTCCACAGCCGGTTCCACCCCGGTTCCCCAAGCTACCAGCTCCGCCCTGGAGGCTTCCCGTCCTTGCATCACCATGCCCTCGTCAGCCTCCAGGGCGCCCACCCTCCCACCCCTTTGGATGTTATACGGCGCGAGGACGCGCCTTCGGAGAGGGGGGGGTTCTGTCACGGTTCACCGTCTATCTTTGCACTACATTTCCCAGAATCCTCTTTGGCGCACCTGCAATCACTCTCCCCGGATTACCAATCACCTGCACCTGTTCACAATCAACAGCCCCATCAACCTCTGCATATAAACACTCACCACAGCCTTAGTCATTGTCAAGCCTCCAATAGGAACAGACGCTTACCATTGTCTCAAGTCTCTTACTCATCCTGTACCAGTCAAGTAACGTATACTCACCTGAAATGTACTAACCTCTATGTCCATGTTCTGATGTTCCCAGTATCTGCTTCTGAATCCAAGTTCCTTGTGTTCCTCCTGAGTCACGCTTGCTGGTGGATGTATCTGAAAGAGTAAAGACAAGTATCACTGAACTGTGTTAGTTTGACATTGGAAAAACTGAAGAGGATCTGCTCACCTGGAATCCTTCCTGCATAGTAATCCTCATCGTATTCACCTCTGAACTTTGAAAGAACTCACCATTGAAATTGATGCACTTAAATAAAGCTTTGTGTTTATTCACTTACCTCTGTCTCCGAGCCTGTATCCTGACAGTAAGTACGCTTTCATCACAATATTTATAAACACACTTAAGTGCACTTTTAAAAATGCACTTTGTAATAATATGTAATTAAGTTTAACTTAAAGTAAGTACACTTTCATGACAATATTTCTAAACACACTAAAGTGTACTTTTTAAAAATGCACTTTGTAATAATGTCTAATTAAGTTTTACTTAAAGAAAGTACACTTTCATGATCATATTTCTAAACACACTTAAGTGCACTTTTTACAAATGCACTTTGTAATAATATCTAATTAAGCTTAACTTAAAGTACACTTTCATCACAATATTTCTAAACACACTTAAGTGCATGTTTTAAAAAAATCACTTTTTAATTGTGTCTAAGTTTTACTTAAACATACATGTTAAATAATTATGAATTTATAGTGTTTTAAAGTTATTAAAGTTATAAGTTATTAAATGAAATTTATTTTGATGTATTGACTAATATACTAAATAAAATAATATTTTTAATGGAAAACATGGAAAGTAATTCACTTTAATTTCAACTCAAGTGTGTTGTCCAAAAATAATTTGTTCATGTATTTTAAATGTGTTTAGTCTATAATATATACTGTGTGCATTAATGCACTTGGAATGTATTTTTCCAATAAATTTGCAATACAGTATAATCCAGGACAACCTATTGTTGACATTTTTGTCAGTTTTCTACATAATATTTGACAATAAAATTTAATTTATGAGAGGAGTCTTAGCAGTAATGTGTTGTACTTTACATCTGTGAACAGAATACTTTCAATATCATTATGTTGTTCTAAGTCAATTAAACACATTTAATTGCAATCTACACTACATTGAACAAAAATATTGACTTTGAGTTAGATGAAAGAGTAAAGTTTTGTGAACTTACAGAGTCTAACAACACAATTGAGTTAGAACAACTTCAACTTAAACAGAAAAGCTAAAATGAAAATATACTCTATACGAAGATGGTGTTTAATGAGCATGCGCCAGAAATACTACGTCATGATGACGCACTACTTCACTAGAGTTTGAAAAATGCGCTGTTATGTTTCTGTAATGGCGGTGCATGAGGAAACTGAAGCTTCCCAAACAAAAGGAGCGCCACGTTTGGCTGTTTGCAGATGAGATGTTATACTGCAAATAATCAGTCAAGTAAGTATATCTTGATGCTTTCTTTATTGAAATTTTTTTCACCGCAGTTGATATTGCGATTAAGAGTGCTTTTTAATCGCAGATAGTAAAGTTATACGCAATAGATTCGGGAGGTAAATTAATCATGTTTCCACTAATTTATCTATGATTGCATTCTAATAATGTCTTACATCGTAATGTGCTCGCGTGTGTGGGCGTGTTCGAGGAATTTGTCTACTGAAATGTGTTTTTTACATATATATTTTTTCATTTATTTATTTTAAACCGACTTTTTAAAATAATTTTAAACAAACTAAATGACTTAAAGTTAAATTTGCATGCTGAATGCTGATCCAATTGTAACTCTCGAAGTCATTTATATTAATTAATCTTAACCACCATAACGTTACATATTTAATATATCACCCACCTCTAGAAATAATGCTTGTATATGTATTTAATTTCGTTTTGCATTTGAAGAGAGAGTTGTTCAGTTACTATTTGTTTTGGAATATGTAATATTTTTGTGCTTATCTGGATTAAACATTCATTTCGCAGGATCAGTTCACATTTGTTATTGGAGATACAGGGCAAGCGGTGTGGAATCACAGACCTGTATTGATGAGGTGATGTTACAAGAGTTATTATGAATTTTTGCCCAGCCAGCACACCAAGCTAAAACACTGCTATCAAGTCACCAAGTATCCCTATAGCTTTTAATGCTTTGTATCTTTTCCATTTGCAAGTTATAGATTCCCACCTGTGCATTTACATATGCCCCTATAATCATCATATATTTTACAGGTAACAAACCAAATGAAGAAGGCTGCCGCATTACTGTGTCAACCGTGGTAAATGCAGGAACATCCTTCATGAAGATACGTGCGGCAAGCTTAAAATTCAAGATTACCTTTCTCAATTTGCATGGGTCTTGGGTTTGCATGGGTCATTAACATATGTGTGTAATTGATAAAGTTATGTTTAATTCCTTGTAAAGTAGCAAAATAAATGTTCTCTATTTTTAATAACTTTAAGCCCAGTGTCAGTGAAGATGGCGTGGTCAGTGCAATCCTGGTGTTTGTGGGAAATAGAGGAACCTTGCCCAGCTTTCTACTTCGGTGTGACCCTGATGAGGTAATTCATCACATCAACAGTTAGCAGTCAAAAGTTTACGTACACCTTGCAGAATAAACTGCTTCATCAGGGTAGTACTAAATAAAAAGAGAACATATACATTTTTGTGTTCCCTCTTATTGCTAAAATTACTAACATTGTGCAGATACTGCAAGGTGTATATAAACTTTAACGGGAAAATATCTATCACTTTCATTCATTTGAGCCAAATATAATAATGGACTGGATCTGTTTTATAAAAAAAAAAGTTTTCCTTCACTTTTTTTTTTCTCAAGGTATTTTTTTCTGACTTTCCTGCCTCTTTGGAACAAATCCATTCACATTTACTTTGGAGAGCACCGGGACATTGACATAAACAACACTTTCCAACTACTTCAAAACATTTGGTGACAAATGATTTTGGTTTTCTTGTTTTTGTGCCTTTAGATTTCTTCAGTTTTTGTTTTGTTTTTTGTTTTTAGACAACCTTATATTCACTGTAATGCTGGAGTAAGCATTTTGTCCTGTTTAATCTTGGTGCTATGAAAAGGTTTAAGAGCTAAAATTAACAAGGTTCGGTAACACTTTAATTAGGTCTCATTTGTTAATATTAGTTTATGTATTAGCCAACATGATCTAAAAATGAGCATATTTTTACAGTATTTATGAATCTTTGTTAATATTAGTTAATTAAAATATAGTTTGTTAAAGTTAGTTAATACAATTTATAGTCATTGTTCATGCGAGTTCACAGTGCATTATAATTTTAATACACAACTTTTGAATATAATAATGGATTATTAAATGTTGAAATTAACATTAACTAAGACTAATAAATGCTTAAAGTATTATTCATTCTTAGTTCATGTTAACTGAAGGAGTTAACTAATAATACCTTGTTGTAAAGCATTTCCCGTTTGAATCTTAGTGTTCACATTTTGCAGTATAACGTCACATCACATTTTGTTTGTATTAATTCATGGGTTGTGTGTTTGATGTACTGTGTGTTTGCTTCTAAAATGATGTTTGTACTGGTAATCCCTAGGTTATGGGGACCAAATTACCCCAAAAGTATAGTAATACCAGTAAATTACATGGAAACAATCTTATAAATCATACAGAATGATGTTTTCTGAAAATGTAAAAACACAAAAATGTTTTCTGTGATGATAGGTTTAGGTACCTTTGTATGAGGGAGAAAATGATTGTGCATATAAGCATCATTGCCCTCCAGACTCTTTCTAAATGAGAGTTAAAGGGATAGTTCACTTTAAAATGAAAATTCTGTCATCATATACTCACCCTCAACTTACACTTAAGTGATCTTATGAATCACTGACAACTCTTAAATAACTGGTTTGTAAATAATGCTATACTTCATTTAGAAATTATTAATTGATCATTAACAAAGTATGAAAATATAATTATTAAACACATTATAGATATGCTTATAAATCAAGAAAAAGCATGTACAGCTGTATTTATAAACTTCTTATTAATGTCTATTAATGCTTTATAAATGATGAATTAACTGTTAACTCATGCTTAACTAATGAATAATAGTGTGCAGTTATTATAAAGTGTTACCTTTCTTTCTTCTGCTGAACACAAAGGAAGATATTTTGAAGAATGTCAGTAACCAAACAGTTAACTGGTCCCATTGACTTCCATAGTAGGAAACAAAATACCATGGAAGTCAATGGGACCAGTTAACTATTTGGTTACTGACATTTTTCAAAATATCTTCATTGTGTTCAGCAGAAGAAAAATTCATACAGGTTTGAAACAACTTGAGGGTGAGTATGTAATGACAGAATTTTCATTTTAAAGTGAACTATCCCTTTAAAGTGTTGTAACTGTTTATATATAGTGTTTCTTGGGTTTTTTCTTGTGCATCAACAGAAAGGTTTTTATGTATTTATTTTAGAGATTGTTTTGTCAGTAAATGTGGAGGGTTTTAAATTGAATTTGTGTTGATTGTAGCTAGGTTATTAAGACTTTTTTTTGTTCAAATTTGAAATAATTTGCAACTTTATTTATTTATTTTTAATTACAAATGTATTTAATTATATAATAGTGTACATGTATATTACATTAAAGTATATTTTAGTTCACATTAATTGCTTGTCAGTATATTTGGAAGTACACTTTACCATATTTCAAAGTTCATATACAAATGTATTAAAATCCCACTTAATTTGTTCCAAAAAAACACTCTTAATATCAACTAATAGCATTTAATTTGAGCTTAATCTGTGATACATTTGAAATCAATTACATATAATATGCAATAAGTTTGTCGAAAACATTACACTTAATTCACATTTAAGTGTATTGTTAACTGACATTAAAGTACATTTTAGTTTACATTAATTGCTTGTCAGTGCATTGAGCAGTGCACTTTAAATACATTTTAAATAGACTAGAAGCAATTATGAAAGTAAATATAAAGTTGTATTAAAGTCCCACTTAAGTGGTACCAAAAAATCACTCTTAATGACAACTTATTGCATTTTATTTGAACTTAATATGTGATATATTTGAAATCAATTACACTTAATGTGCATTCAGTGTGGCGAAAACATTGCATTTAATTCACACTTAAGTGTATTGTTAACTGACATTATAGTATATTTTAAAACACATTAATTGCGTGTCATTATATTGTGTAGTGCACTTTAACTGTATTTTCTGGAAGCAATTGTGAAAGTATATATAAAGTTGTATTAAACTACCAATTAAGTTGTTTTAAAAAAATCACTCTTAATGGCAACTTATTACATTTTATTTTAACTTAATATATGATACATTTGAACTTAATTACACTTAATGTGCATTAAGTGAGTTGAAAACATTGCATTTAATTCACACTTAAGTGTATTGTTAACTGACATTAAAGTATATTTTTAATCACATTAATTGCGTGTCATTATATTGTGTAGTGCACTTTAACTATAATTTAAATACACTAGAAGCAATTATGAAAGTATATATAAAGTTGTATTAAAGTACCAATTAAGTTGTTCCAAAAAATCACTCTTAATTGCAACTTATTACACTTTATTTCAACTTAATATGTGATATATTTGAAATAAATTACACTTAATGTGCATTCAGTGCCCTGAAAACATTGCATTTAAGTCACACTTAAGTGTATACATTTAAAGTGTATTATTTATTATTTTTAAGTACACTTAAGAAAAGTACACTAAAGTGCACTTTTTTTTCACAAGGGCAAACTAAGACATTTATGGAAAAAGACTATTTTCTTTTCAAGATGTTTCCAACTCTAACTTTGAACTGAAATAAAACCATGTCTATATGGTGAAGGGTGTGTGATAGAAGTGTCCAGACATATGCACCCTGTATTTTAAAGAAGAACATTTAATTATTTGCGATACATTATTCATTCACAAAGAATTCAGGGACATTATTCATTTCCCTAAAGGTTGGAGTTTTCCTCATTTTTTAAATTAAGGCATTAAGATTTTTTATTCCTCTTTTTAGTCAACTTTAGCATGGGTGTTTTCACTTATTCTAAGCAGTGTGTGTGTGTATATATATTAGGGGTGGAACGGTACACAGAAGTCACGGTTCGGTTCATACCTCGGTTCAGACATCACGGTTCGGTACGATTTCGGTACAATGGAGGGAAAAGCAAAACAAAAATGCAGAAGGCATTGTATTTTTTAAATAAGTTTTATTAATAAAGGCATAGAACCAGTTTATTTGTAGTGCACTGACAATAGTTTTATATAATTAGTTTATTAATTAAATTAATAAAAAGACAAAAAGACCTTGCGATATGTTTGGTAATTGTACCTGAATTAATTTAAAATTAATTTGCTATATTTCAGATCAATATATTTGTTTTCCTTAATTTTAATTAACATTATTAATTAACAATGTAACATTATTCTCATCTGAATTATAAATAATTGATTTCTGTATAAAATAATACTACCATTAATAACGCATTCGATTTTCTTTTTTAATCAATGTAGAATGTGTAAGATTAGTGCTCCGAGGACGAGAAATGAAAACCAATGCGATGAATGTCCAAAAGATGGGACCCACAGACTGTTTTGAAATGTAGTTGGATAAATATGTTTTGCTTTTAAAACAGTGTGAGAGAGAGAGAGAGAGAGAGAGAGAGAGAGAGAGAGAGAGAGAGAGAGAGAGAGAGAGAGAGAGAGAGAGAGAGATTTTGGTTGGGTGACAGTTGTAGGTTACAGTTTGACAAGAGTTTACAGTGTGACAAAAGCACAATGTTGTGTTTTATTCCAAGTGTACACAAATATAAGTAAACATTTTGCAGGTTTAATGATCTGAACAAAATGACGGAGTATGTTTTTTTATGTTTCTACTGTTCGATCGCGGCCGCGCCTCTCTCTCTCTCACAAACACACTCCAGCATTGCAATCTTGACATCGCTGCCTGTTCATTATGCGGTCACGGTCACACCAAACGCGAATAGAGCGTCAAATTCGCGTCTGGTTCGACGCTAGTCCAAAGCGAATAGGACGCGCGTATAAAGCCAACGTTTGAAGTGAACGCGCGTTCAGAGCAAAGCCGATGCTACAGATTATGTGTCCCTAAAGAACCCGCGTATCTAACAGTAGTTCCGCATTACATTAATTAATTTCCACGCGAGTTTTATTTATTTTTATACCGTGTATTCTCCATGTAAATTCGTGCACCGAACCGTGACGCCCGTACCGTTTCGGTTCGATACGAATACATGAACCGTTCTACCCCTAATATATATATATAATTAAAAAGCAATTTTAACCAGAAACCAGTCCTTTGTTGTGTATCTTTGGATTATGTTGTGTTGTAAATAAATCCAAACAATCTAAAAGCCATTCTTTTTTAAATCTCCTCATTCTTTGTGCAAGGCTCCTCGTAATGGGGCCTGATAGCACCTAATAGGGCCATTATGGGAGGGTCTTTGTCTTTCTCAGGTGTGAAATGCCATACATATTAATGAGAGATCACGCCTCCTCGCATAAAGCTTTCTCACACTAAACACGTCATACACATTCTAAAAGACTTTATTGACTTATCTGAATGAGTAGTCAGGATGATTCTCACATAGTTTTGGAGCAAATATTCTAGGCTATGTGATACAATTTTCAAAAGTCTTGTGAAGAAATAATCAATATGTGTTTTGTGGCCTTATTTCAGAAACTTTTATTTTTAAGTTTTTCAATAACCATGCATAAATAATATTCTCTCAAAAATACAAACATGTACATACATGTTGCTCAAATATTATGGTAGCCCCGTTTGTGCTATATAGAGTGAATTTACACCGTTGCCATTAACATGTTTATAAATAACTGAAAAAAGCACAAATGTCAGTGCATGTCAAAAC